GACGCCCTTGTCCCTCTGCTCGGCCTCCTCGGCGAGCCGCTGCTTCTCCGCCTCGTCGGCGGCTCTAGCCTGGTTCTTGGCGCGGATCGCGTCGAGGGCGCTGTAGCCGTACACCGGGTCCGCCTCGTAGCCTCCCATGCGGGCGGCGGTTTCGGCGTCGTCGGGTTTGGGGGAGGGGTGGTCCTCGTCGGCGCGCTCGGCCAGCTCCTCTTCAAGCGCGGCGAGCTCGTCCTCGGCGCGCAGGCCGGCGTTGAGGACCTCGTCGACAGGGAGGGTCTTGCGGAGGTACGCAAGGGCGGCGTCGCGCTGCTGCGGCGTGAAGGCGGCCGTGTTCACGGCGAAGGCCGGGTCGTCGAGGGTGCCGGCGACGCGGCGGCCGTGCATGATGCGCAGCAGGCGGTTCGCGGCGGCGGCCTTGATGGAGGGGCCGAAGACGGCCTTGGTCTCGGCGGGGGAGAGCTCGGTGGCGCGGAAGCGCAGGCCGATCTTGTCCTTGTAGTCCAGCGGGAGATCGATGTAGTCGCGGAGGATGGGCTCGTCCTTGGGTCCGTTCTTGGCATCGGGCTTGGACGGCGGCGAGAAGGAGGAGGCCCATCTCCGTGCCGGGAGGCTAGACGTCGCGGCGAGGCCGGGGGAGGGCCATTGGGATTGGCGGAGCGTCGGCCATGGCGCGTGTGGCCTGCTGGAGACGGGTTTGCGGAGGGTCGTGCATGCGGAGAGGAGTCGGGACGCGGCAGCGGCGGCCACGGAGATGCTGCAGCTGGTGCTCACGGCGCGGCGACTTGAAACGCGCAGGCCGAGGTGGAGGAGGGATCGCGAGGGGACGAGGCCGAGTGAGGTATTCATGGCTCCTGGAGCCGGGGGGGGGGGGCGGGTTTGCTGCAGCGCACGGAGAGCTACACGCTCACCTATGCGCCGGCTCCGGTCGAGAAGAGAGAGAAAAAACAAAAAAAAGGTTGTTTTTCTTTGTGGGAGAGAGACGTCCGCCCTTGAGTGGTGGTGGCGCTGTGCCTTGGGGCACGTTCCGTCGTCGTCGTCGTCGTCGTCGTCGCGATGGTTCGACGCCAAAGATGTGTGTCATGGACCGACGGTAAATTCTTTTGGTTGGATTTAACTCAGCTAGCCTTACGGGGCACGCGGAACCAGAACCGCGGCGGTCGGCGAGGGTCGATTCCGGGACACGCCCGGGCGTGACTTGATCCCTGCGGCGCCCGTCATCTACACTAGTGTACTTCGTACATAGGCCCAGCTAGGTACCGCACGCACCCTTAGGTAAACTACCTAGGTCGGCACGTAATCGATAAGAAAAACCCTCAGCTACGGAGTACACATGTAAGCGCTGTGGTGCTTGCAGCTCCGCCCAGGGGTGCGCCTTGGTCCCCCCTGGTCAAGGCTATACCCCCCCACCGCCCGGAACCTTCTATTGCACCTTCCACCCCGCGCCCAGGTTCAAAGAGCTAGCAGAAAGGTTGCGGTGACGTTGCACGGCATCTACCCAGGGCTGCCCACCCCTCCTCCTTCTTCTGCTTACCTCTATCTATCTATGTGCGTGTACATCGTATCTACCTACCTACCTCCCTATTCCAGATAGGCAGTCCCAAACTCTCGTGCGCCTACTGCACCACACGACATCGTCGTCATCGTACGCCCGCTCCCTCAGCCTGTTTTGCACTCGTTTTCTTTTCCAGGCCATACACACTACGAGTAACAACCGCAGACCGGCCAGCTTTTCCTCCCTTCACCAACTCCAACCCCAATCTCAACCGCCGCCCATCCGGCATCTACCCGTCGCAGAAAACTCCCAAGAACCCGCCGCCTGCAACCATGTCGTCGGCCGACACGAGCCCCATATCCCCCGCCCGCTTCGCCGAGGCCCTGCGCGAGCTCTCCCTCCCGATGCTACATCTCAAGGCCCTCGAGATCCGCAACTCGATCCTGCACCTGCGCTACTCCAACGCCCAGCTGAAGCCCTACGCCGAGGGCGCCGCGACGACGCTCGACGCCGCCGACGCCTCCGCCGGCCGTCCCGATCCCGATTGCGTCGAGGCCATCCGCGAGAACGACGTCGTCATCGCCCGCATGGACGAGCGCCTGCAAATCATCCGCGACGAGGTCGAGGGCCGCGGCCACTCATGGAGCGAGTTTCAAAGCAAGGAGGAGGTCGAGTCGGACCACCACCAGCAGCAGCAGCAGCAGCAGCAGCAGCAGGCCGGCGCCCGTGCTAACGGGGTGAACGGCACTACGGCCCAGGCGACAACGACGAACGGTCTCGGCGCCGCGACGGCCGAAGAGGAGAGGATCGCGGGACAGACCGCCGCCACCGCGAGCAACCCAAACACCGCAACGGCAGCCTCGCCACACCCCGCATGGTTGGACGGCACCTTCCAGATGGGCACGATACGCAACGGCGAGATCCGGATGGACGCCGCACCGGCCCAACCTACCCCGCAGCCAAACAGCACGGGTGGCCGTCTGTCGGACGAGGAGCTGCGCCGGGCCATGGAGGAGCGGATGAGGGACCTCGGCCACGACGATGACGATGGGATGCACCTCTGAGTGCGGTCGAAAGGGTCTGTCATGGCATGTTTCACAATCAAGACGAGGCATTGACTTTCGGGTCCACCTCGGATGTCAAAAGTGGACGGGGAAAAAAGAAGAAAGAAAAGAAGAAAAAAAAGTTAATCGGGAAAAAGGAGATAATACCCTCGTATTCCTACTATTGCTTGCTTGCTAGTCATGCCATGATGAAAAAGAAGAAAGGGAACAAGTTTCATCGCGACTCTGCGCGAGGACCAGACAGATGTTAGAGGTCGTGTCGTAGAAGTGAAGAATGAAAGAAAAAAGAAAAAAAAGAAAAAAGGGCCAGATACTGTTTGCCCTTGTTGCATCAACGCAACGTCAACAAGCAAAGACCAAAACACAGAAGACCGTCATTTTAGAAACCCAAAGCCGTATGCTTTCTGCTTTTGCACACATCTCTCCTGACGCCGATGCCGGTTCCGTTTCCCAGTAATGCAGATGCTCCAGTCCTGAACGCTATGCCCACCCATAGGAATAGTAATGCAGTGGATGATGGCCCAAATAGGAAAAAGGGCCATCGAGAGTGTTTTTTTCGTCTTTCGTTTTTGTTTCTGTTTTTTTTAATAAAGGAAAAGGACCAAAAAGCCCACTCGATGCTGCGCCTCAGACTCGGTGGCGTCTTTCAACATCATGATACCGTCGTTGCAGCGGTGACAGTGGTGGGCGTGTTTTCGTCAGCTGTGCGGGTGGCGATAGGGTTGGCTGACGCCTTGGGTGTGATATCAGAGCTGGCTTTGGACGCGGCGTCGGCCTTGGTGCCGTTTTGTCGTGCCCTCAACGCCTCTCTAGTGTTGGCGCGGGAGCTGTTAATCGTTTCCAGTTGGGGCCGCTTCCGAGGGCTTGACTTTCCGAGCGAGTCCCAGGTGCGGTGTTGGGTGAAGTCGTCATCCGAAGAACTCTCTTCGGGGGTCATGGGAACACGCCTCGCGCGAGCCAACCTTCGCCGCTCTACCAGTTCGCCATCTGAAGACACTTCGGACTCTAGCGAGAGACTTCGGCTGCGGGTCGACAAACCCCTGCTCGAGACCGTGGCCCTCCGGGACCGTCCGCCGATAAGCGACTCGATCAACTCCGACTCTGAAGGCGTCTCTTCCTTGCGGGGCTTCTCCCCCTGCCGCAGCTTCTTCCTAATAGCCCTTTCACGGACTACTCTGTCTAGGGGTGGCTCTTCGGATGCCATGGTCCTCCTGCTCCCGACAGTACTAGTGCTAACGGTTCTTGCGACGGGAACACGGCCTTCCATGAGCTTGGCTGGCGGGGGCGGCTGCAGCATCCACTTGAGGGCGTCCGGGCGAGAGGGCTTGCTCCCTACGATGGGCGGGTGGTATTCGTTGACGGGTGGGTTTTTGGGGGTACGGTAGAAGTTGTCACGGTCCTCGTCCGTGATGGGTTTCTCGAGTCCTAGCTTCTCCTCGACGTAACGCCCCGCCGTGTTTCCGGCCTTGGCAATGTTGTCCATGAGCTTGTGGCCCATTCCGGTGAAGTTGTGGCCCCAAAGCTCCTCGTCCTCTCGCTGGTACAAGGCCCTGTTCCACCCGTCACCGGACAGCTTCCGGGCCGTCTCGGTACTCGTTGTCGGTGTCGCGGGGCTGGTGGTATCGGCGACGGTGCTGGCACACCCAAAACTAGCGGTCGTGCTCGCCCTGCCAGCACTCGCCAGGCCTCTCTGACTCGTGTTCTTGCTTCCCGACTTCTTGGGGAGGTGCGGGCCGGCAGCCATCTCCTCGGCCCAGAAGGGGTTGGTATGGAAGGGGTCCGGGTGGCTGTATAATCCTGGCTGCTCCATTTCGATCTTCCTCTTGATCTCTCTGTCTTCCTTGGCCTTCTTCTTGGCCTTCCGGAACGCTTTCATCTCGTTACATGGTGTACATGCGAGGTAGTAGAATATCGCCGACTGAATGGCGACGGGTAATGACATGTTTGTGGTATGGCCGTGACCCCAGCGCGGGGAGAAGGTCTAATGTGTAGCTGGCGGCGTCTGGAGGTGCTCATATACATCGAAGGCAGAGCTCAAGTCGAAGGTGCGAGTTCGACTGGGTGGCAGTGGTGATGGTGGCGGTGGTGATGGTGTTGTTGTTGGTTGTTGAAGGGGTTGGCGGGATATGGTGAATATCCAGGCGGGAAGGGAGAAAGGGACTTTAATGGCGAGGAGGTAAAGTTGCAGCAGGCAAGGTGGATGTTAAAAGCAGCCCTGGGTGCGATGGTGGACCAAGAACCTAAGATGAGATACTTGGGGAAAGGAGCGCGTGCCAGCTCCAGAGGGGAAGTCTAAAGCGCCATTGAAGTGAATCACCGGCGCAGAGCCCAAGACACAGTTTCCGTATGGAGGCGTGGATGCTTTACAAGTGGCTCGGCCTGTGCGGCCCCCTCCAAGGTACCGGGAGGATCGAGGTTTGGAATTTGCGGACGGGAGAGGTTTCAAAGGTCGGGTATGGGTGATTGTGCTGCTTTCGAGGGGTGTGGGAGCGACACGGTTGCAACTATGCAGCGGCTGTCCTGTGCAGCGTGGGCAATGCAGTCCTGTCCAGGTTGAGTACTATGCAGTAATGGAGTGTGTGTGTGTGTGTGTGAGACAGAAAGAGGAAAGCTGATGGGACCGTAGCGCAATGGCGGCGTTGGGGAAGTTGGACGCAGGATGGATTGGCGGGCGCGAACAGACGGGTCGGTTCGGTTTGGTCAGGAAAGTTTGAGGGCCAGATGATGTTGCGACGATGACGGTGACGGGCCGAACGAAGGCTTGCGTTCGTGTGAAGGGTTCGAGGTTGGCGTCTGGATGCAACACGCGGATGTCTCTACCACATGGAAGGAGGGCGGGCGATGGATTCGTTGACGATGCCGGCAGGTTCGGGGACGGGGAAAAGCGGAAATGAGACACAAGTGGGAGGGGAACAGAAGGAAAGAGAAGGATTGGGGGAGAAAATGAGAATCAAGAAAACGAAAGAATTGAAGACGGGGAATTGGACGTGAATAGGTAGCAGGTAGGTAAAAAAAAAGGGAGGCGGAGGAAGTGTTGCGCAATCTGGTGCTTTCTCACTCTCCGTTGTCTGTCATTCCCTCCTTCTCTCTCTCTTCCAGGTTCGCTCTCATTCATCAATCGAGACGAAAGGGGGGGAGGCAATGAGTGGAGGGTCCAACAGGGCGGAGACACACACACACTTACAGTGTGTGAGGGACGGACTGGGGGATCCTTCCAGATGGCAACTACTGAGCACCAACCGGGGGTGGACGATTGAGAGTGGAGAAGGAAGGGTCGACCGGGGAGGGATGGGAAAGGGAAGGAAGGCAGGTGGAAGGGATCGAAGACAAGTACCGGGTACATCCTTCCTCTTGCGACAACGCGCGGTATTCTACTATGTACAATACCTACATTAGGTATCCGTACTCTGTACTCCGTATTGGTAGTACATATCATATGATGTACCCCTTGGGTGAGGCGGCCCTCAGAATCAAACTATTTGATCGCCCTTGGCTAACCTCTCATTCCAGAAGGCCTTTGGCCAAATAATGGTTGTCGATTCCCCGACTGTGGCTTTCGACATGCAATTTACACGTACGCCAGAGGCCGCCAGACAGAGATTGCGATACCCTCGACGAATTGAGCAGATGGGTTGGGTCCACTCCGCGGCACCGCGACACCCCCGACTATGGATCGCGTACCTAGCCACTCGCAGGGCCTACACCCGTACGTTTAGTGCGTTGCGACGCAGGGGTGGGTGCGCGAGTCTGAGGCTGGGTATTATCCGTAGTGTACTCTGTACTCCGTACGGATACATACTCCGTGTCCGTACATGCCTTTTGCAATCCATCTTGCTACCGCGTGGCTTGTCTCTGTCTGCTTGCTTGCTTGCCCGCCTGCTTATAGTAGGGCGATACATACGCCTCCATTCCATACCTGCAGGAGACTACGTCGTGTGTACGTACGTGTGTGTTGTACCCGCACGCCATGCTGATACTGCAACCCAACTGACAGCACTGTGCCTCGTGCCTGCATCGCATCCGATGCCGTGCGCTGTTTGGTCCGCTGTGCCTTTCTTCCCGGAGAGAGGGTGCTTGGCAGACTGAAGAAGCCAGATGATGTCGTGGCCCACCGGGTGCATTGCAGTGCACCGCAACGATTCCTCGTCCAACTTGATTCCACCATCTGCTTCCTCTTCTTCGTCCTCTTCTCTGGTCCCCCTTGTCTCGCCAATGTACAAGCCCAGCGAGATCTTGGCCGATGTTCGGTTCCTTGGCTCAGCAATTGCACGACTGACCTACAGAGTGTCCTCAACGTCCTCGTCCACACAGAAGTCCCTTTGGGTCAGCGCGGCGCACGGGTTGCAGATCAATGGACCGAGGCCCCAGGACATGCATCCTCTACGAAAACTTGTTAACTACCTACTATGTACGTACGCAATTGCTAAAGTGAGATAGTCCAAGGACGGAGTACTGGGTACTTGGAAGATGCCACCCCTGCCAGGCCCCCCCCCCCCCCCCCCTTTCTCCTCCCTCTCTCCCCCCCAACAACAAACCTAACACAACCCCCGGTACTACCCTATACTTGGCAGGATTGGGAACCAGGCCGATGTTCGAACTGGATAAAATGCCATGCACTCTATCATGCCAACCTCGCCATCCTGGACGCCTCTTAACGCGATGATTCAATAACTTCCACGATGGAATGCGGAGCCGGATGGAGTCCTATGAACTATAAACTGGGTAACTTGCGCTGTGTGTCGCGCCACTCCAACGGGAGGGAAGCCTTGGACATGCTGTGCGCGCTTGCCCGTCAGTAAACAATGTATCAGCCACAGCCTAACTGACATTTAGGCCGTTTCTACTAGTCATCCAAGAGATTGCTCGCGGACAAGACGCTCTCATATCACTCAGCAACGCAGAAACTGTGAGTGGCCAAGCAGAGGCACATTCCGTACACACAGAAAATTCCTCAATCTTTGTTCCTTCGATATTCAGCAGGCCGGATGCCGGCGCAGTTTCCTCAGCAGTGTTGCCCAAAAACTGGCACAGCTCCAGCCAGGCCGTTAATGTCTCACGGCCACCCAGCCCGATCTCCCGCAGTGACCGCCTGTTCTAGTCACGACTCACGACCGCTGGGAGGGGGGCCGGTAGCGGCAGCGCCTAAACCCTCTCTGTTGAAGCGTCCGTGGGAAAGGGTGCCCAGCACAGCAGCACGCATGGCGCGGACGTTGCGCTGCTGCGGCTCGCGTTTCCAGAGCGAGCGGTCTCCTGTCTTGCCCTGTCTCAACTGGCAGGTGAGGGAGCAAGACGGACCTTGCGAGACGAGACCAGACAGGATCACAAACGCCTCTGCGTTTCGCGCGCCTTGCGAGTTTTACACCGCAGCACCGCCGCTTGCTTTTCGCCTTAGCGCTGCCGGCACCACTCTCTGCTCCGTGGCCACACACACGCACACACACAGAGAGAGAGAGAGAGAGAGAGAGAGAGAGAGAGGCAGAGACTGTATCATCCGACACCCGGTTTTCAGCCCTCAATGCCATTGCCCCGCTGGCTTGCGGTCCGTCCTGAGTGATGGGCACGTTTGGCACGGCACCAATGACAGACAGACAAACGTCAGACTTGACTTCCTTCACATGGCCGCCCAGCCGTCGTCGTCGCACATGGCCGAGAGTTTCCCTTGTTGGAGATCATGCCTGTTGGAAGCCTATCAGTTAATCATGCATGCTCACTAGTCCTACCACCTTACTGGCTAACTGTGTAGGTGTTAGGTAGCCCATCTCCCCCCAACTCTTTCTCCCGCCACACCCGCCCGCCCTCTGATTAGGTTATCAACCCGGGCGTCGGCTGGGGGCATCGAAAGCAAGTGAATCGGCAACGGGCCGATGCTCTAAACTAGTTACATAACGCAATATTTAGCCTCCCCCGATCGCTAGGGGGGGGGCCTCTGCGACGGCACAATGAAACCGAACTCTGCGTCGATCCTCGATGGGGGAGGGGGGTCGCCCGCTCAAAGAAAATGAAAGATAATGAAGGATTGCATCATCCGCGGACGCCGGCGTGGGTGACGGGTCGGTGATGATATGCCCACCATGCACGCCGGGTGCCGCCGGCATGGGTCCAAAACAGACACCGAACCTAGGAAAGCAAACGCTGCAACATTTTGGCCATGCAGGACTTGGTGGGAATAACTGGTAATCAAATTACCAACGATCCGTGAACATCTCAATCATCGCACCTCCACGCCCCTCCCCCGCCATCGAATCACATACCCCGGAAGGGAAAGCTCGAAAATTGAATTGAAGCTACTGAACCTCTGTCACCTACTGTGTACGCGCCCCCCCACTCTACCTATGCTTTTACACTTTGGAGGCTGACATGTCGTACGTGATCCCCCAAAGAGGCAGAACGAACCAGCTCGCAGCACGACGAGGGGGAGGCAATCTTGGCGGCGATGACAGAACCCACCTCATCAGGGGGGGAAAGTTGACCGTCATTGGAAGGATCGAAGAACACGATGTAAAAATAGCTCGCGGCACCCTTCGAGAACCCCCTTTGTTTCCCGTATTTACCTTGGACATAGGACGGACGAACACACACTGCTGCATCTCGTCAAAGATGAAAAGGAAGACGGGGACTAAAAAAGGAATAAAAAAGACCTATGATGAAAAAGAAAGACCGGCCAAGGGCGCCGAGAACACGCGGCTGCCCCCCTCTCCCCTCCTCCGTGGACCACCCACTTGGGAATCCGTCCGAGGCCCCCCCCCCCCCCGCACACGTCTTCTTCGTGTAATCGATAACTTACACGCAGGTCCATCCGTCCATGGATGAGCGAGTTGCGCATGTGAACCCCATCCCCCCTCCCCCCTCCCCGCGAGCCAATAGCTACTCGGCCACCCGCAGGCCGCCGCCGACGCCGCCGCCGCCGCCGCAGCCCCATGCAAGTGCCCCGGACCCGGCTTG